AATCGCATATATTGCATCGGGCTTGCCCTGCATCGGACTGGATTCCGGGACACCTAACACATAGCAAATATACATGCATGAATCACAAAGACATCAGGCATACTTCCTACTTCCTGGGACTGCCCCAGCATCAGACCGAAGTCCGGAAACATATAAACTGAATCGGGATATCCCCGGCATTGGGCTCACCCAGGCATTCTCTAATACTTAAATGGGCCGACATTGGTGCCTTAGACTCGTTCCTACTGGAGGAAAACTCACCTCGCGTGACTGACTGCTGCAACTCTGGGTGAGGAATTTCTGTCTACTGCTCCGGCGACTCCCCAGCTACAAATTTCCATAAAAGTACTTAGTCAAAAACTAATAACTACTCTTAGGGTAAAATGACCATTTTACCCCTAGCTAAAGTCAACCCCCAGTTGACCTGACTTGACGAGTTTGTTCACCAACTTGTGGAGTCCCTATTCTTTCATTTGTTCCCAACCCCTACCCTAGTCGTCGAGTCTAGCAAGAACTCAATGAGCTCTCCTTCAAACATAACATCAGGACTATCCTCATCTGACTCGCTGAGTTCATCCTTGAACTCGTTGAGTTCATCTTCATCATATGAGTGTGACCAGTCTGTGACTCACCTAGTTGTATGAACAACTCGTCGAGTCCATCATCATGAGTTGGGAGATTGCCTTGGACTCACCGAGTATGTTCATCCACTCACCGAGTCCCATGGTTTCCAGGTCCATAACTATGTCTATTTCATTGAGACCTTCTTCTGGACTCATCTAGATCCCTTCTATACTCAACTGGATCCCTTCGAATCATAAAATGTTGGAGAACCAAACCCCCAAATCGCCAAGTCCAATGAGCGACTTGTCGAGTCGAATTATGCCCAAGTCCATTACTCGATTTTTGTTGTGCAAAACTCATCTAAAAGGTAGATCTGTGCTCCTAATGCTGATATAACATGTAAAGTCATGAACTTTACATCCATGCATGGGACTTTTAATCTTAAAGGACCAAAAATGCGGTTTATTACATGCATGGGGTTATCATGGCCATAAAGATGGCACCTTTATGCCATGAGGACCCTCCAAGGTTCCAGATCTAAAGCTTCTACCGTACATTACACCCTAGAATCCTAAATCACATGGAAATGCTCCCAAAGATTCCAAGGTTCTATCCCCAATTTAGATCTAACACATATGAGGTCAAGATAGGGGCTATTTACCTCAAATACACTGGAAATGCAACCAAACTCGGAATCCACTGACTTGCTCCATGATTCACCAAACTTACCTTCCTTCTTCTAGCTTCAAATCAAGATGCAAAGGCATAATATAGCTCAAAGATGCTTACAACTGATTAGGGTTTCAAGGACAGGACTTGGGGTGATGGAGGCTGGGGTCGAAGCCTCATAAGTTGTTTAAATAGGGTGCAAACCCTCCAATTTAGGGTTTCACTCAGACAGCTCCTACTCGCCGAGTCAGTCTTTCGATTCGTCGAGTAGGTCACTTAATCCCCAACCCATAGTCGATCCTACTCGACGACTTGAGCTTTCAACTCGTCGAGTCCAAGGGTAAAAATATGAAGTTTAACTTAAATTGAAATGCATACCTAAGATCAGGTGTTACAATTCTCCCCACTGGTCTTAGACTTCGTCCTTGAAGTCTGTTGTCTTGGGAAAAACTATGGGTAGTGCTCCCTTATTTCCTCCTCGGGCTCCCACATCCACTCTGAACCCTTGCGGTGTTGCCACCGCACCTTCACTAACTCTACCCTCTTGTTCCTCAGCTCCTTCGTGTTGCGATTTAAAATCGCCACGGGTCTCTCGATGTAGTTCAAGATATCGTCAACCTGAATGTCCTCAAAAGGTATCACTGCTGAATCATCCACTAAGCACTTTCCCAATTGAGAAACATGGAATGTGTTGTGGATCTGGCTGAGCTCTGCTGGAAGATCTAACTGATACGCAACCCAACCCACCCAGGCCAAAACCCTAAATGGACCAATGAACCTGGGGCCCAGCTTGCCCTGCTTTCGAAACCTGGTAACACCCTTCCACGGTGACACTTTCAGGAGGACCATATCGCCCACCTAAAACTCCAAGTCCGAACTGTTGGATTAGTGTCTAAGTTCATAACTATTTTGGTATGTACTTGACCCGATGGTGCATGGTCCTTTTGGGTTGCCTTCACCAAAGCAACTTGATAGGATGAATTATGGAGAGAGAGGATTAAATATGAATTATTAATATATTATGAGAATAATATATTAAAATAGAATTCATATTGTTTAATTAATATTAGTCAATAATTAATTAAGAATTAATTTTGTGGCTAAAAGAGATTAATTAAACTTAGGGGACTGGATTTGTAATTATAAGATAATTGCAACTGGGCTGTGGATTACCTAATAATATATAGGTTGGACAAATTCGATGGGAAAGCCCATTAGAAATCGTCCAAGGGATATGTTAAAGGAATCCATGGGCTGCTTAGGGCCTAAGCAGTCAAATTAGGGTTTCCTTGTTTGATAACCATAATAGCCTCACTATTTAAGGACCCCCTAGAGCACCAAAAACGTGGCTAAGAGTTTCCTTAGGGTTTCCACACATTTTTTGGTGCCTCCTCTCTTATCATTCTTCATCCTCTTGCTCTTGGTGTTTGTGAGCCATTAGAGGAGTGACACTTGTGACTCTAAGCTTTCTAAAGCCATTACAAGGAGGATTTGAGTTGTTATTACTATATAACAACAAAAGGTATGTATTCTAATCTTCTTGGTGAATTTCGAAAATAGTATGACTCATTGGGGTTTTATTATGTGTTCATAATGTTGTGTAACTAATAGTGAAAATATAGATCCAATTCTAGGGTTGCATGCACACATAGGATTATATGTATAAAACCCATCAGTGGTATCAGATACAATGGTTTTTGTTTTCAATTAGCTTTTATTTAAATGTATGAACTTGACATATTAGGGTTTATGGCTAATAAACCGTGAAAGCTAGGTAATTTTCGCAATTAGGGTTGCAAAACCGTAGTTGGCGATTTTTTGCTAGGGTTTCCCAAACCCTTTCCTTAGCCTCCAAGATTTTGAAATCTAGGGTTATCCAACCCTTGGATTTCGAAATTACCTCCTTCCCTAAGGTTAGATCCTAAATTTTAGGGATTTGGATTATCCCATATCTTGTAATTATCCTTTAATAGTTAAATATGGTAATTAAATATTTTGGGATATCTTATCCTTTATTTTCGTATTCTCACTACTAGAAAAAAGGCCTTTAATGACGCGCAAGCAATGACACGCGCTGATAGAGGACGCGCATTTGTGAGTGCCCTAAAAAATAATGTTAGTTTTGCAAAATTCGAAGGATAGAAGACACGCATTTGTACGTGCCCTAAAATTAATGTCCAACAAAAAAAATTACAAACACGGAGGGCGCTTATGTTAAATGTGTGTGTCATCTAGAAATGTCGCTTTATAATTTTTTAGTTAGACGCGCGTTTTTAAGTGGGGAAAATGAAATCTCTAAAATTCTAAAATTTTCAAGTGCCCGCTTCTCCGCTCTATCCTCTTGATCTCCTTCCATTCTCTTCCTCTATTCTCTCTGCAAACCCTAAAATGAAAAACCTTGTCTCTTTTGAAGGAAGACTTGTGCACTTTCCCTTTGGCGGGCCATCGCCATCTTCCTTGTATCTTAGAGTTTTATTTTATTTTATGCTTCACTTCTCCTGATTTACTCTCTCTTTCTCTCTCTCTCTACCACCTATTACACGACAACCACCTACCACCCTTCGTCTTCTCTCTGGTTCACCACCGCCTCCAATAAAGCCCCATTATACCACCGACACAGCATATCACAAGATCACCACCCCTCTTTCGCACCACCATCGTTGGTTACTAACACCACCATTTGTATAAAAACCCTAGAACCACCAGGCCACCCTTTTCCTCCATCCATGTCCCTCCTTTCTGTCTATCTCTAACAGACCACTGCAACATCACATTCACTTCTCCTGGCATGTGACTGCGACTCCCAAAAGATTTAGTGTTATGCTCGATGCTTCTCAACAAAATCGATCGAGGTGTCGGCGCTCTTATCTCATAGAGATTTAGGGATTTCTTGGTTCAAGGTATCGAATCTCAAACATCAACGACTTTTTTTGATGACCCAGTCAGATAAAGACGTTTGATGAACTAAATTTGTGTATCTGACTCGGGAAGCTTAATCTAATCGGGTAAGATGGAAAAAATCGACTGACTGAGAAAGGAGGAAAAAAGGGAGAAGGGTTTCCAATTGTACCCTTGCCCTACCAAAGGAAGAAATCAGCGACTCCATCATTTCTTCTCCTACTTCAACGCCAATTTTCTTCTCCCACAACAAGCAATCGTCGACGATCCTCTTCTCATCTGTTCCAATTTTTTGAAGTCTCCTTCCCCTTCTCATCAGGTACGCTTCTTCCTTTTACCTCTTCTCATCAGGTCCGATGTTTTGATAATATATAGGTTTTGATTTATGATTTTTCTGTTGAACATGTATGGTTCTTCATTGAATTCTGAAAATTTCTCAAAGAATTTAGGCCCTGTGTTCAATTTCATCATATTTCTTTTGTTTTAGACTTGTGCTCAATTTCAAGGAAGGAGAGAAACCTGCGATATTTGTTGCTCTTATTTTCTTGATTTGCACTTACGAACCATAGGTGTTACCAGAAAGCAGGTTACTCTGTTCTGTTGTTAAACTTTTCACCATTCCTTTAAAATTACACATACTAGTTAAACTTTTCACCATTCCTTCCATGTTTTGAATTTATTCAACTTTACTTTTTCCCTAATATGTTTAAAAGACTAAAATACCCCTTATTGATATTACAACCCCTTCATGCATTGGCGAACCTGAACCTGAATCATTTGAAAATGTTTTTTTTACCATTTTACCATTACTTGACATACTCACACACAACGACCAAAAAATAGAGGTTATTTTAATATTGTTAAACTATATGAGGTTCTATTTTGAGGTATTAGCATTTTAAATAACAATAATAATAATAATTTTTGTTGTTTCTATTTTTCATCATTTCCTTCTCCACAGTAATCTCAATGCAAGCTCAGATCATCAGAAGGGAATAGGAGGGCTTAGTGATGTTATGACTACTCTTTCTCCTGCTGTTCAGGATTTAAACAATAATGCAGGTATCATTCTTCCAAAGTATAATTGCTTGAATCTTAGCAATGTAAGTAAGCCTCCTGTTCCTGGATAGCTGCCACATCAAGTTGCTTGTAGATGTGGGGTCCCAGGTACAGTTTATGCCAATGGGTTCGTTTTTCATATTTGCAGTGCTTCCAGATACTTGCAAACTTATAGAAGAGTGGATATCTACATGTAAATTCAGCAAATACCCAATCAAGGTAGAATGTTTTTTTTCTTTTAACTTATTTCTAATTATATAAGGATGTGTCTTTTTCACTTTGAGTTGTATATTAACTTGGATAGTTAAAAGTTTATTTTTTTGTGGACATCTTCAGGATAAAGACAAACTGATTAGCATCACTTGTTTTTCTCTTAAATTAACAACATCAAACTTGGTTAACTTCTCATATTTTTCTTATTCATGTTAACAGGGCTCAGAAGTAGCCAACATATCCACAACAACTTTCCCCCAAACGTTTGGGATTTCTTTTTCTTAATATGAAAATTGATGTTATATATTTATTTATCTATTTATTTGTTGGATAAATATTGTTCAGGATGAATATGCTCAGTGGATAGTGTCAAGCCAAATAAGCCTTCTTGAAGTCATAGAGGCTTTCCCTTCAGTGGATAGTGTCAAGCCAATTGGAGGCGATAAATGAAAAATGAAATGTTCTTTGTTGACTGTTTAGCAATATGATTGATTTATGAGTTTTGGAAATCTAGGGGAAGGGAATAGAAATGAAAAGGAAAAGTAAAACGAGAGACAGGTGTCACCTGATAAGCTGTACAGGGCTGCACTTTTGAAAAACCATTTTGCGAACATAATTCCATATCATTCCTTTTGTTTAGTAATATATAAGAGGACCCCCAACAACTTGAAAACCAAAAAAGGAAAGGTTTGCCAATACAATAAATATATTTAGTTTTTCTTTCTTTAGTAATATAAAAACATAAATGTTGTGGTTTTTGAAAAAGCACGACTGCAAGCAGAAGCCAAGGCAGCTGAAGATGCTTGGAGGCGAGTGAAGGCGGAAGCTGCTGCAGAAGAAAAATAGAAAAGAGACCTGGAGAGGAAAGCAGCCAGACAAGCACTATTGAAGGTATTCCATATTTCTATTTTGTAACATATATTTTATTATAATATATATTTTATTGTACTTTTTTCAGATTGAAAAAACAGTTGAGATTGATGAGGTGTCTCGGTTTCTGAAAGACTTGGACCCGACAAATAAAATTTAATCTTAAATGTTAAATCTAAAATATTATCATGTTATTTATACATAAAGTAATAAACATAATTCTTGTTAATTTTTTATTTGAATTTGTTTTTATATTTTTTAGGCAAAAGAACGAGTGTGCAGATTGATCCAAAGTGGAGTTGAAAGTGGAGCTAAACTACTGCTCGATGGAAGAGATATTGTAGTATTTTTTTTTCAACTTCATATAATTCTTTATGATATAAGAGCAAAATGGTCATTTAATCCCATTCAGCAGACTTAAGTAAATAGATATTGGGCCCACAATCTTGTCTGGTGTTACTGAAGATATAGAGTGTTACAAGGTATAAGCTTTCTAGTGCTATTTTTAGTTATGAGGATGAGGAAGGACATTTACATCTTTTGCACAAAGTATGTTACAAGATTTAAACTTTTATCTAAATGCAGGAAGAAATCTTTGGTCCAGTTCTTATTTGCATGCAATTATGTTAATACTTTCTATATATAATACTTATTTAACTGATCATGTTCATAATTCATTCTCTTGAGGCCTAATTTTGTAATTTCACCTTTTTTTTTCAGGCCAATAGCTTGGAAGAAGCCATAAATATTTCACAGCATCTGGTGTGGCTGCTAGAAAGTTTCAAATTGACAATGAAGCAGGGCATGTAAGTAATTTTACATATCCTATGGATATTATGACTTAAGAAAACATTTAAACTATTAAAATATGAAAATCTTTATTATTTTTTTTTTGTGTGGGTGTTGAATTTACAAATATGCCCTTGTGATGTAGCTCAAAATGCGGTTTCTATGAATGAATTTTTAGGAGATACTTGGGATAAGAAACCGGTTGAGATTGAAAAGTCAATAAAAACAAGTTTTTTTTTCATTTTGACTTTTTCTGATTATCTGTTGACCTTTTGACTTTTTTTTTATTTGAAGATAAACAGAATGTGTATTTGAATGAGTACCATAATCCACATGGGAAGAGAACATTTCAAGCAAATGTAACAAAAACTTTTGCAAATTGTTTAAGCATGAAAATCCTCTTTTGCCAGGTGTTCCTTCTCTCCCTCTCTCTCACTAGTAGTTTTTGTCCCGTTATAGCATCCTACTTTCATTTCCTTCCCTGTTACATCATTGTACTTTCATTTCTTTTTCTATCACAACTTTGTATTAAATAAAAAAAATACTGAATCATAGAAATGCATGTTACAAAAGGTTTGATCTCAATGTCTTGTGAACCATTTGTTCATTTTGTAATGTAGATCTCAGTGTCGGAGATGGCGAAGGAGAAGGCTTCAAGTTTTAGAATTTGGATTCTGTTGTAGATTTGGAAACAGAAAAAGATAAGGATATCATTAATAAGTAGGAAAAGATTTGACTTCATGACTTTATGATTATTTCCTTTTTAATTATATATATATATATATATATATATATATATATATATATATATATATATATATATATATATATGTTGCTATTCTTTTTTTAATCAATTCATTGGTATCTTGTAGCAGCTATACAAAGAGCTTTTGGTTGCTCAGGAGGAAGCCCATTTGGCTCATTAACAACTTACCTCTTCAATGGTAATAGTGGAGAAATTTTGAATACTAACAACATACAATAACACTCTTAACATACGACTCTGAAGCATTGGCAAAGTTATCAATAGACATCCAAGAAATCACATTTGTGATTCAACAATATATTTATTCTCATATGTATCTTTTTAACAGGAATAGGTCCAAGGGAAACTAATGTTGAATCATCAAATCAAGCAAATGTTGATCTTCAGAACACTTCATGTTGAAGTTGCAAGAAACAGAGAAATCGAAGCATCACTTGTGGTTTAATTCAGATTCTGGGACAAAAAGAGTCCTAGGGGTATTTTTGGAATATTTAGTTTTTCTAACTTTTATGCGTAGTCCGAGGGGCTACAAAAGGTGTTAGTGTTAGTGATGAAAGCTTGGTTCAGATTCAAAAAGTGTTGTATAGCTAACAAATGGTTCTTCAGGTATGCAATACTCTAGGCATAATTATAATATAGAACTATAAAAAAATTTAATTTTTTGATATATATTTTTTATTTTGTTTTGCAGAGGATACTAAAGAGAAAATCTTGCAAAGGATATTTTTTGTTTTGTTTTGCAGAGGATACCCCTCACATTTTCCTAAATTACCCCTTCCTCTACAATGTTTTTTTGTTTCTGTGTATTTTGTGCATCAGGTAAAGTTGGTGGAAGAAAGGAATATGAAGCCACTTAATTCAAATCTTGCAGCATTATCAGCAAGATGCAGTAAAGACTTGGAGTTGAATTTGGCTAAGTCATTCTTGAGTGAGATGGGCCAATGTACAACTTCTTATCCATATAACAGCTGTGGAGCATTAGTCTTAAAGAATTATGAAAGGCAAGATGCAACTTTACTTAGTTGGAATTTGATGTAGAGAGTAGATTAGATGCAAATTTAGATATTGTAAAAAATAGAATTGTATGACATTAAATTTTATGCAATGGATTGTATTTTTTGTATATGATATTTTATTTCTATTATGATACATTAAATGTAAATTCAATTTAAAAATTAATAAATATATAAATATTTTTTTAGAACATTTAAAATTATGATACGCAAAAATGTGTGTCATCTTCATTTATGACATGGCCTTTCTTGACAGGGGTTTCCTTGATACGCATTGCGTGTCATAAACATGCGCGTCGTAAGGTTACGACACGCAAATGCGTGTCGTCTTCCTTTATGACATTGCCTTCCTTGATACGCATTGTGTGTCATAACCGCGCGTCGTAAATGCCCGTCATAAATGAGCGTTGTAAATGCGCGTCGTCTCTCTTTATGACAGGGCCTTCCTTGACACGCATTTGCGCGTCGTCTGAGCGTTTTACGACGCACAATGAGCGTCGTAAAAGGCCTTTTTTCACATAGATCTATGTAGATGTTTAAGGGATTTGGATATCTTAAATGTATAAATGGTAATTATCCTCATGATTTAGATAATCCCTTATGATTTAATAATTAAAATTAATAGTCTAATTCAAGATAATTATTAAATCAAGAGTTTTAATATTTAAAATTTTAATTTAAATGTCTTAAATTCGAAAATTTTAAGTAAGATTAAAACCTAATTGTTTTGAAAATTTTTAAAACTTGCCCTCAAGTTTTGGAATTTAAATTGTTGATTAAAAGTTAATTTTGAAAGTCTAAATTCCAAAACCCTAATTTTGAAAATTTTCAAATTAAACCCTTATGGTTTTATTAAATTAATTAAGTGTATAATTAAAAGAGAGCTAATGAATCCATAATGATTTTGGTTAATTAAAAGTATAATTTAAACCACCTAGTATTTTAAAAGTGTAAAATACACCCTTATACTATGTATAACATTAAAAGCTTAATATTATATATGTATAACTAAAATGCTAGTCTTACCATTAGTTGGTCTCATTCACGAATCCGATCTATAAGGGGGTATAAGGTTATGGCCTATAAAATGGTTGTTTAATGGGTATCCACTCTTACCCACTGCTTCCTTGATTGGTGGAGGGTCGTTAGCCGAACAGGTAGGATAGGACAAACCCTTTCCATTAAAAGTATAATGAAGTATAAAGTAACTAAAAGTTTTACAAAATTCCCAATCTTAGTTACTTTAGGCAAAAGTGAATTGATGCAATTCCATGAAATTACACTTTGTGCCCTTGCGAAGATGTTAGTGGAGCGTGTGTGGTTAACCGGCACACTAAATGGTTCTAAGCAAAGGTAGCAAAGGGTGACTCGATGTTTGTCATAGTTCGATGGAGCGTGTGTGGTTAACTGGCACATCGATTAGGTGATTGTAACATGTGGGGGCACCATGTAAGTTTGCATGGTTATTCACACCCGCTTTGTGATCCTCGGTATCCCAGTCACAAACTAGAGGGGCATATCAAGATTTAAACATGCCATTGAAAAGTTCAATGAATCTCAAAGGATCTAGGAGTTTTCATAGACTTTAAAACTTAAATTTCTTTTTCGTTTTTCATGGTGGAAATTGGTAATTCGTCATTTACCTACCTTCAAATATTCTGCAACTAGATTACAGCATCCCTTTTCTAGGTTGTAGCGTATTGTGTTGGGTCCTAGCCTTAATATCTCATTTGGGTGATTTATTAAGGACTCAATCAATCAACTAACTTGAACTTAGTTTCTCCCGTTTTATAGATGTCAACTATGGCATTTCTAAATGCCGTGGAACAAGCTTTCCACATGAAGATGATATTCCACGATTCGATCGAGGAACAAGAGATCATGCTTCACTTCCTCCACCTCCTCCAATTATTCTCCCTAACCCACAAGTTCGAAGGCTTGAAATGTTCAAGCTCACTCAATCCCTTTTGGCAAGTAAGCATGGAAAACCTGTGTGTGTACACGTCTTAGAG